TCACTAACATCCATCGACGTCTTGGATGGTGGGCAGAATTTTTCGAAGGGCAGTTCAACTGGCCTGCTGCTCCGGCAACATCGGTCAGACTGTCCTGCCCTCCATGGCCGGTGATGACTGATCCACCAAACGAGGAGGAAGTCCGCAAGGAACTCCAACTCTTGAAGCGTTACAAATCACGGGGCCCAGATGACTTACCTCCGGCTCCTTTTAAAGATGGTGGTGACTTTTTGACTAAGGAATTGACGACGTTGTTTACAAAGGTTTGGGAACTACAGAGTGTACCAACGTCATGGAATGAGTCGATAGTTGTCCCTATATTTAAAAAGGGTTCACGTCGTTCCTGTAACAACTGTCAGGGGATAAGTCGACTTCCGATTGCGTCCAAGCTATTGGCTTCCGTCATACTTCGTAGGTTGTTCAAAACCCGAGAAAGATTGACTCGCGAGGAGCAGGCTGGGTTTCGTTCTGGTCGAGGATGTATTGATCACATCTTCACCCTCCGCCAAATGTTATAACACCGCCATACTTATCAAAGGCCAACAATCGTAGCGTTTCTTGACATCAGGGCTGCCTTCGATTCATTGAATAGGACTGTTCTCTGGGATTGTCTATTGAAGAAGGGTGTGCCTGAGAAGTTTATTAACATCTTAAAGGCCCTATATACAAACACCTCAGGCAGAGTGAGGGCATACAACCACCTTTCTCCATTGTTCCATTCAAGCAGTGGGGTTAGACGGGGTACTCAATCTCCCCATTCCTCTTTAACCTTGCCATCGATGACAATTTGAAAACAGCTCTGATGGATGTAAGTAATGGTGGTGTGGATCTGTTGCCTGGAGAAAGACTTCGCGACCTTCGAAGTGCAAAGTACTCCTACAAGACTGGCAGGATTTCAATCCTGTACTCACCCTGGATGGTGAGCAGATAGACGTAGTCGAGAAGTTCGTGTATCTGAGTAGCTACATAAGTGCTGGTGGGGGTGTGAGTGATGAGATCAATGCACGAATAGTGAAAGCCAGAGCGGCTTATGCCAATCTGGGCCACCTTTGGCGTCTTCGTGATGTCAGTCTGGCCGTAAAAGGTCGGATCTACAACGCGTCGGTGAGAGCAGTTTTGCTCTATGCTTGTGAAACCTGGCCTCTCCGAGTTGAGGACGTTAGACGACTCTCTGTGTTCGATCATCGCTGTCTCCGAAGGATTGCTGACATTCAGTGGCAACACCATGTCAGTAATGCAGAGGTTCGGCATCGTGTGTTCGGGCACAGAGATGATAATTCAATTGGTGTCACCATCTTGAAACACCGACTTCGGTGGCTTGGACATGTTCTCCGAATGTCGTCCCAGAGAATTCCACGTCGTGCATTATTTGCCGACTCTGGGACTGGTTGGAAGAAGCGGAGAGGTGGTCAGTGCATGACATGGTGTCGTGGCATGAAAGAAAGCTGCAAAGGACTGGCTTGTGTTGGTCCTTCACGACTCCCTGGTTGGGGTCTGAGAGATGGTGCTACACAGTGGCTAGAGACGTTATCAGATATGGCTCAGAATAGAAGCCAGTGGCGATCCTGCTGTAACCTTCTTTTACTTTCTTCATAAAAAGTGGTTCTGTCTCCCTTACCTGAAAGATTTCTTCCGATTGTACCTTTGCGTTCCCTGATTACTAGCACATTACCTTACACCAATCTCTTCGTTATTGTTCTCTCTTTTTTTTGTTGCGCTCCTTAGCTTTTTTTTCTTTCTTTGTATTCCTCTCGAATTTTCATTGTTTTGTGTGGCGCATATATATCGGCGCTCTCTTGTACCAATATTCATGTGTCCAAATAAATAAATAAATAAATAACCTACCATAGCAGAGAACAAACTGGCTTACACTTGAAGAGGAAACTGGGAAAAAACGTTGGATGTGGATAAGACATACATTGTGGAAATTATCAAACTGTATCAAGAGGCAAGGCCTAATTTGGGATCTTGAAAGGAATAAGAAGACAGAAAGACAAAGAAACATATTGCAACGGAAATGGGAAGGAGACATCAAAAGAATGAATAGCGACTAGATAGGATTACCCAGGACAGAGTTGGATGGAGAATGCTGGTGGGCGGCCTATGCTACTCGATGGATAACAGCCGGAAGTACGTCATGTGTCTATCAATTTCAGTAGTTCCGATGAAATATTTTGAATTATTTCGTTAAAGAGTTAAAAAATTGAAATATAAAGATTTTTAAGTCTACTTTTTTTTCTTACTTTCATATTCTGGTGCAATTTGGAAAGCTAGTCGAAAAACCTAACTGATCTTTTGCATATAATCGCTGTTTGATATATGTAATAGTTGTTACGTATTTTAACAATTATTGTCACGTAACTATGTATAGTTGATTTTCCTTTCTCAAATTTTGATTGGGTTCACTTTCTGTGTTTGTATTCAAAAATGTCAGCTCAACTGAATGTGTTACTTATAAGTAATATAAATTCTGAAACTAAAATAACTTCCTCATGGAGGATAACAGCATAAACCCGTCCTTATTTTTTCGAACGACTCAACACATATTACATGCAAATAATCTTACAAAAAGAATTTATTATCAATCTAACACCTCCGAATTCAGGTCTATTAACTAAGCTTCCCATGAAATTGAATGATCTATTCACTCAGTCAAACAGTGAAATTATATTAACTAAGATCAGTAACTACTGGTCGGACAGACATTTGTTCAAAGTATATGTCAAACAAAATCACATTGAAAAGCGTCGATGAATCAGCTGAGAATACTGGAATATTCTTGTGAAAATTTATATATATATATATATATATATATATATATATATATATATATATATATATATATATATATATATATATATATATTGATATTTTTGCTGTTTTGCTTAGAGTGCATTTACGTTCTATTCAAGTGTTGTTTCGATTTTGAAACTAATTGAGTGAGTGAATTATCCGAGAATACTAGACAGTAGAGGAATATTAAGCCGAATAAGGGGACTTAACAGTAACAAAAGAGTTGAAATAATTTACAGTGATTGAACCCTCATTGTTGGTCATTGTCATTGTTTATTCAATCCTCTAGTGCTCATCAGATCCTTTCAATCTAGTTGTAATATAGTCATCAGTCTAGGTGGATTAATATCGTCTAAAGAATAGTAATAAAACCCATGGAAGTAAAAAAAGACTGGATATGGGAAATACTCAGGAAAGAAGAAATGATATGAGGGGATAATTGTTATGAAATAATATTGAAAATTACGATTTTGAGGAAGGTTTAGAATTCATGTACTGAGACCGAATTTGAGCTATGTTCTAAGGTCTTCCATCATTGATCGTAATTATCAAGCGAAATAGTAACTATTATGCAAAGTAATTTAACTCATCGTTGCAATTATGGAAACTAGTCGCTTTTGGAATATTTTATTAGTAGCCTAACACATCTTTCTTACTTTTGAGTGTCAAAATTTCATCATCAACTGACTATCAATATTATTGGCAGATGTTTGTCCTTGCTTCGTTGGGTTGACGATAACTATAACATTTGTCCTATTCTACAAACAGTTAATCATTCTATATTTTCTTTCTGAGTGTATAAATAAAGAACAATTAAGTCCTTGTTTGTGCTGAACGATCTAGACTTCGCAGATGATCTGGATATTCTATCGCACACGTAACAACAAATGCAGAAGAGCACCAGTGTAGCAGCAGACTCAGCAGCAGTAGGTTTCAACATGCACAAAAGGAATAGTAAGATTCTCCTATACAACACAACATGCACCAATCAAACCACACTTGACGGAGAAGATTTGGAAGGTGTAAAAATCTTTGCATATCTGGGCAGCACGGCGAACCTGATACAGATGTGAAGGCGCGGACTGGCAAAGCAAGAGCAGGATATTTACAGTTGAAGAACATCTGGAACTGAAAACAACTATCTGTTAACCAACACCAAAGTCAGAATTTTCAATACAAATGTCAAAACATTTCTACTCTATGGGGTGGAAACCTGGAGAACTACGAAAGCCATCATCCAGAAGACACAAGTATTCATCAACAGTTGTCTATGCAAACTACTTCGAAACGGTTGACCAGACACTATCAGTAACAACCTACTGTGAGAGAGCACAAATCAGAATCCAGCGGAGGAATAAATCAGGAAGAATCGCTGGAAGTGGATAGGACACACATTGAGGAAAGCACCCAACTGTATCACAAAGCAAGCCCTCACATAGAATCCTCAAGGCCAAAAGAGAAAAGACGAAAGAATACACTACACCGAGAAATGGAAATAGACATGAGTTGAATGAACAAAAATTAAATAGAACTGGAAAGGAAGATCCAAGACAGAATGGGTTGGGGAATGCAGGTCGGCGGCTTATGCTCCATTGGGAGTTATTTGTTATTTATTTATTTTAACACATAGATATCGGTGCAATGAGGCACCAAATACATATGCGCCACACAAATCTCATTTGATATGCGTGAGGATTGTAATACTGCCCCGGTTCCCAAACCGAAGCAGGTGGTCTTCTTAGGAGGCCACTCCACGAGCCTTCGACCTGAAAGTCTAATCCACAACGCAGTGGAGCATCGTAAGGAGATGCAGTCCCATGGAAGCCGATGAACAACAATTTGTTCATACGCTATTTGTTTCCGCAGGATACTGGAGCCCATGTGCACCATTGGTTTGGAATCCGGTTAAAGCGCCGGACATTCGCTTTTCGTCCTCTCATTCTCATAAACAACAATAATGCGACGAGAAGGCAGTGAGTAGGACTTCCCTGGTAGAGGCTATATACACGTGGCCATGTGAGGGCATTTGGAGAGGGAGAGCGTACTCTCCCTACTCTCGGCCGTACCAAGGCATTTGGGAGCACTATTGCGAGTAAGAGGCCTAAGTAAATAAGTAAAGTAAGTCCTTGTTTGTATCATTCATTATCTTAAACTAAACAAACATCCAATATCGACTTCATTAATATAGAACAGTACACTGAAAGAATTCTTTAATAAATACCATGTATTTTTTTTAATTTTTTTGTAAAAAAAATACTATTTACAGTACACCGATGATAAAAAATCTCCTCTTACTTTTTATCTTTAATCTAATAAACCATTTTCTAACATTAATTTTCTAACTTTCTCTTCTATTTCAGCATAGGATAATTGTTTATTATTATTATTTTTTGATGATTTATATTTTTTCTTTATTTTTTTCATTTTCATTTGAATTGGTTTATTTGTTGTTGTTGTTGTTGGTGGTGGTAGTGATGGTGTTGTTGTTGTTGCTATGGGCAATAAATCTTGTTTGATTACATTATCAGCTTGTAATGATTTTGAATGATTTATAAAATTGAATTTTTTCAAAGATTTATTCAATATATTCTTGAATAGATTACTATTACACATGTGTAAATATTGATCAAATAAATTATATGCATCATTTAAATATTGATTAGTATGATGATTATAATTTAATAATTCTTTGATAATTACATTACGTACATAATGATAACGTTCATTATTATTATTATTATTATTATTACCATTGGATGGAATGAAACTAATACAATGACATATATTATGAAAAAGATAACCACTTGGAAACATAAAATAAATCGACAAAAAATGTAAACAAGTTTTTAATTGATTTTTTTGATTGATTGTTACTATGGTATCTAATAAATGAATTAATGTATATAATGTTATATAAATTATTTGTAATTGACCATATCTATGTACATAATTAATATTTAATTTATTTAATTGTTTTTTATTAATAATTTTTTTATTATTTATCAAAGATTTTATATGTTTTAGAAAATAATTTGCACACTTATAATAATGTTTATTTAATAATTTATAGGATGATAAATGATGATTAGAATGAATGGTTAATAAATATGTACATATACATAGAGCACCAAATGTCAATGAGATAGGACATTGAGTGATATCATCAATATTAATAGCAGTATTAGTAGTAGTAGTAGTAGTATCAGTAGTAGTTGTAGTATTAGTATTAGTAGTATTAGTAGTAGTATAAAGTGGTATGGATTGACTTTTATAATTTAATACATTAATTAATACAATAGATATTAACCAATCATTATGTGATTCCATAAAATCATAATCCAGATTTAAATATTGTTGAAGAAATATTAAACGCGGATCTCTTTTTATATTTAGTTCATTATTATTGCTATTATTATTAGTAGGAGTAGGAGTAGGAGTAGTAGGAGGAGGAGGGGTAGGAGTAGGAGTATTACATAATGATAATAAGTGTATTGGTTCAACGAATATTTTACGTTTTTTGATATGAAATGCATTTTTACGATCATATTCTATAATATAATACAAAGGATTATTATTATTATTATTATTATTATTATTATTATTATTATTATTATTTAATTGATTTAAACCAATTAATTGATTTGGATAACGTAATGTATAATTGGATTCAATGCCTAATAATAAATTATAAATTAATGTACGAAGATATATTGTATTAGAATAAATGGATGAATAATGATATAATGATTCAATACAACATAGACATATTGTACCATAGGATAAGATACTATCTAAAAATATTGGTAAAATTAGATATTTTCTAAATGAATTTAATAATTCAGCAGGCCAATATGTTGTTATTTTATATGAATTATTATTATTATTATTATTATTATTATTATTATTATTATTATTATTATTAATAGATTGATTAGTATTATAATCATTCAGTTCATTAACACCACCACCACCACCACCACCACCACCATCATCATCATCATCATCTTCTTTCACAGCATCATCATCATTATTGTTACTATGGTCATTAGGATGATCATCATCAGTTTGTTCTTCTTTAATAGTTAATATTTGATTTTCATCAATTTCTTTATCATATTCAGAAGAATATGATGAATTCAATGGTGATAATTGTTGTCGATTTGTGACAGATTTCATCATTGTATTACGACTATCATCTTCAGCATCATCATCATCATCATCTTCTTGTTCTTCTTCAACAGTTAATATTTGATTTTCATCAATTTCACTATCATATTCAGAAGGACATGATGAATTCAATGGTGATAATTGTTGTTGCATTGTAACAGATTTCATCATTGTGTTACTACAACTACTACTACTATTACTACTGTTGCCAATACTACAATCAATATCAGATTTTATATTCTTTTTATTAACAAATGTAGGAATCTTTTTAAATAATTTCAAATCCTTATTAAAATGTAAATAGAATAAATTTGAATGAATATGATAAGTATGAATACTATACATTAATTGATGATATAATTGATTTCGTTCTAATTTAGGATATTTATTTAATAAACATTGAATTGGTCTATCAAGATTATTATTATTAGTATTATTAAATTGTAATAACCAATTAATTAATTGTAATATAATCAATTTACGACGTTTTAATTTCATTTGTTTCGTCATAGTATGATGATGATGATGTAATAAGATTGTTTTATCATTAAATGATATAGGTAATTTATGAATAAATTGATTCGATGAAATATAATCATTCCCTAATAAACTAGCTAATAATGAACGTTGATCAATCGATAAATTTTTTAAACCTGGTCCATCAATTAAAAATTTTTGACATTTTATATACATACATAATTGATTATATTTTTGACAAGAATAACATCGGATTATATTGATTATTGGTTTAAAGGATATCAATGATAATGGTAGAAATGAGACACCATCATTATCATCATTATTCATTGGATCATTATGATTATGATTAGGGATAGTGATATAAAAATCGGAATCATTACTTATAATTGGACATTTCAAATATATGCCTAAATTCATGACATTTTGATCAGCTTCACTATCACATGTAATATAATGAATATTTAATTGATTTAATAGTTGAATAAATGTTATAATGGTTAATGGTGGAAGTAATTGAACATTATATAATGAATGAGTTGATGATAATTGATTATGTTTTATAGAATTTAATAATTGACGACATGTTTGCATACGTTGATAATTTCTTTTCATTTGTGTATTCAATTTGAAATGCTACATATATATTATGGAATCAAAAAAAAAGGAAAAAAAGTTTTCAACATTATTGAAATAAGGAAGAACTGGACGGCCGTTTCGTCCTAGTATGGGACTCCTCAGCAGCGCGCATCCATGAACCCGCACCCTACGGGATTCGAACTCAGGACCTACTGGCTTCGCGCGCGAGCACTTAACCATTAGACCACTGTGAAACTTACTAAAATCTCCACAAAACTCATTCTGATTATTAAAATAAGCAATGATGGATAATGGCTAGCAGTGACTAGCGTTTCGTCCTATTCGGGACTCGTCAGCTGGATGTACTTGCATCTTATTTATTATTATTTATTTATTTGAACACATAAATATTGGTACAAGAGAGCGCCAATATATATGCGCCACACAAAACAATGGGAATTCGAAGAGAAGTAGAAAGAAAAAGAAAAAAAACTAAGGAACGCAAAAGAAAAAGAGAGTAATGACGAAGAGGTACAATCAGAAGAAATCTTTCAGGTAAGGGAGACAGAACCACTTTTTATGAAGAAAGTAAAAGAAGGTTACAGCAGGATCGCCACTGGCTTCTATTCTGAGCCATATCTGATAACGTCTCTAGCCACTGTGTAGCACCATCTCTCAGACCCCAACCAGGGAGTCGTGAAGGACCAACACAAGCCAGTCCTTTGCAGCTTTCTTTCATGCCACGACACCATGTCATGCACTGACCACCTCTCCGCTTCTTCCAACCAGTCCCAGAGTCGGCAAATAATGCACGACGTGGAATTCTCTGGGACGACATTCGGAGAACATGTCCAAGCCACCGAAGTCGGTGTTTCAAGATGGTGACACCAATTGAATTATCATCTCTGTGCCCGAACACACGATGCCGAACCTCTGCATTACTGACATGGTGTTGCCACTGAATCTCAGCAATCCTTCGGAGACAGCGATGATCGAACACAGAGAGTCGTCTAACGTCCTCAACTCGGAGAGGCCAGGTTTCACAAGCATAGAGCAAAACTGCTCTCACCGACGCGTTGTAGATCCGGCCTTTTACAGCCAGACTAACATCACGAAGGCGCCATAGATGGCCCAGATTGGCATAAGCCGCTCTGGCTTTCACTATTCGTGCATTGATCTCATCACTCACACCCCCACCAGCACTTATGCAGCTACCCAGATACACGAACTTCTCAACTACGTCTATCTGCTCACCATCCAGGGTGAGTACAGGATTAGAATCCTGCCAGTCTTGTAGAAGTACTTTGCACTTCGAAGGTGCAAAGCACATACCATACCTACGGACATTGATTGCCAACTGATTAAGTGCGGATTGCATGCCTTGGGCATTATCGCACAGTAAGACAATATCGTCCGCATACTCAAGGTCGAGAAGTCTTTCTCCAGGCAACAGATCCACACCACCATTACTTACATTCATCAGAGCTGTTTCCAGAATGTCATCGATGGCAAAGTTGAAGAGGAATGGTGAGATTGGGCAACCCTGCCTAACCCCACTACTCGAATGGAACAATGGAGAGAAGTGGTTGTATGCCCTCACTCTGCCTGAGGTGTTTTTATACAGGGCTTTTAGGATGTTAATGAACTTCTCAGGCACACCCTTCTTCAATAGACAATCCCAGAGAACAGTCCTATCCAACGAATCGAAGGCAGCCCTGATGTCAAGAAACACTACGATTGTTGGCCTTTGAAAAGTATGGCGGTGTTCTAACATTTGGCGGAGGGTGAAGATATGATCAATACATCCTCGACCAGAACGAAACCCAGCCTGCTCCTCGCGAGTCAATCTTTCTCGGGTTTTGAACAACCTACGAAGAATGACGGAAGCCAATAGCTTGGACGCAATCGGAAGTAAACTTATCCCCCGATAGTTGTTACAAGAACGACGTGAACCCTTTTTAAAGATAGGGACAACTATCGACTCATTCCATGACGTTGGTACACTCTCTAGATCCCAAACCTTTGTAAACAACGTCGTCAATTCCTTAGTCAAAAAGTCACCACCATCTTTAAAAAGAGCCGGAGGTAAGTCATCTGGGCCAGGTGATTTGTAACGCTTCAAGAGTTGGAGTTCCTTGCGGACTTCCTCCTCGTTTGGTGGATCAGTCGTCACCGGCCATGGAGGGCAGGACAGTCTGACCGATGTTGCCGGAGCAGCAGGCCAGTTGAACTGCCCTTCGAAAAATTCTGCCCATCGTCCAAGACGTCGATGGATGTTAGTGATTGGCATCCCATCATCCTCGCAGATTGTTTCACTCACACCAGACTTCTTGCTGCCAGTGGCTCGGATGAGTTGGAAGAGCTTCCGGTAGTTGCCAGATGCAGCTGCTGCTTCCAGCTCATTAGCACGCATCGACCACCAGGCTTCTCGGTCCTTACGCAAGCTTTGCCCGATTTCCTTACATAACATCCTTCGTTTATGGTCAAACTCACGGTTACCCGGAGTAGACCGACGGGCTTCAATGAGTTGTAAGGAACCAGAAGAAACCCAGTGCTTAAAAGCGGGACGTTTCGCAAACCCACAACTGACTGTTCCCGCCATTTTCATGGCGTCATGCAATTGCAACCAATGCTCATCTATACTTTTCGGTGGAGTGGTAGCTAGCCTAGAGGCTAGCTCGGTTCGATACTTACTTGCAACAGAAGTTGCAACCAGCTTGCTAACATCAATCTTTTGGTGGTGGTCACTTCGTTGGCCACTGAAAAGTAAGGCAAGATTGGCGCAGACCATGGCATGATCTGAGTCCAGATAGGTACTCCAAAAGGAGCGGCAGTCTTGTACACAACCACGCCAGCGGTAGCTGATCGCGATGTGATCAATCTGAGTCCAGGCTTGAGATGCAGAGGGAGGACGCCAGGTGGCACATCGGCGATGACTGTGCCGAAAGTTAGTGCTAGCCAGAAACAGGTTGTGGTCTGCGCAAAGTTGCAGTAGACGGTCCCCGTTATCTGACCTGCGACCAACGAGTCCCCATCGGCCACCTAAACGACTCTCTTCTGTGCCTAGACGCCCGACCTGAGCATTCAAGTCTACGGCTAGTACTACAATATCTGTCGAAGCACTTTCTGGAGAAGAACTGATAACTGGTGGTAAAACTCATCCTTGATTGCATCCGGGCTGCAATCTGTCGGGGCATAGGCGGAGATGACGAAAAGACATCGTTTCTCACGCCGATTTCTTCTCACTTTGATGGAACTTTCTAATCTAACAGCACATAACCGACTGTTAATGGGGATCCAATCGACTAGTGCTGCCTCAGCTCTAGCGCTTAGTGCGACACCAACGCCAGCAAAACCAGACGAAGATGCCACAGGGTCCCCGGATAAGCGCACGTAAAACAAGCTTTTCGAAGCGACAGATGGAGATCGAATTTGTAGTACTTCGCCAGAGTCTTGAATACGGGTCTCGGATAGACAACACACGTCGATATTAAGACTTTCCAAAGACATAGCCAGCCCTATCTGTTGTCCGACCTGCATAAATGTGCGAACGTTGAAGGCAGCCAGTTTGAATGATGCACGTGGTTTCAGAAAATCTGCTTCAGTCCTCGTATTCGGTGGTAACATACAATTTTCAACCGGACAGTGACTCGAGAACGTTTAGATACAGTCGGAATTCCACCAAAGACGAGCCGCTGTATAAGTATAAAAGAAGGTGAATAATGTGGAAAATAATAATAATAATGATAATAATAACAATAATGACAATAATAGTAGTAATAATAATATTAGTATTAATAATGACAATAATTGAAGTGATCATAATTTGAATCAATTGATTGTTTTTCAAAGCGACAAAAGTAGTTTCCATAGACATAAACAGTTCATCATTTGTGTGTGGGCTGTGATACTGCCCGAGTGCCCAAACCGAAGCAAGTGGTTTTCTTAGGTGGCCACACCCAGAGCCTTCGACCTAAAGGTCTAACCCACAAGGCAGTGGAGCATCGTAAGGAGATGCAGTCCCATGGTAGCCGGTGACCAACGATTGGTTCATACGCCATTCGTTCCCGCAGGATACTGGAGCCCATGTGCACCATTGGTTTGGAATCCGGTTAAAGCGCCGGACATTCGCTTCTCGTCCTCTCATTTTCGTAAACAACACCCCCGCCACGAGAAGGCAATGAGTAGGACTTCGCTGGCAGAGGCTATATACGCGTGGCCGTGTGAGAGTATTTCGAGAGGGAGAGCGGACTCTCCCCACTCTCGGCCGTACCAGGGCATTCAGGGGGCCACTTGCATCTTAGAGTGGATGTTCACTCTGGGACTAAAACCCAGTAACATTCGCTTCAAACGCCATCGTGTTATCCACTCAGCTACTGAGTCCTGATAGCCACTTGCTTGTGTAATGGGGTGAAGTTGAAATTCACTTAATATTGTTTGGCTTGTATTTTCCCATTGAGGTTTAAGACTGTAATTGATAAGTCTGTTATTGGTATATGTGAATACTGTGCGTATGATTCGATATTACCTTAATACACAAGCTTTTAGTAACCAATGATGGATAGTGGCTAGCGTTGGAATTCAGTTCGACGCGCGTTTCCGCCTATTTGAGGACTGGTCAGTTGGATGTATCTGCATTTCAGAGTTGGTGTTCACTCTCGGACTCGAACCCAGTTACATTTGCTTCAAGCGTCATCGTGTTATCCACTCAGCTACTGAGCCCTGATAGCCACTTGCTTGTGCAATGGGGAGAAGTTGAAATTTACTTGGTATTGTTATAATAGATTGATCAATTGCAGTCTTAAACCTCAATGAGAAGATACAAGCCAAACAATACCAAGTGAATTATTGAAATAATTTTATAAATATTCAAAATAATAATAATAATAATAAAAGAAACTACTGATTAAATATTTGATTATAAGAGCCAATCATACTATATTAATCATCAATAGTTATGTAATATGAAGATGATTGTAAATAATTACAAAATCATCAGGTGGAATTTGATTGTGAAACTTAAAAAATTTTATCATTTCGTCCGACTTCATTGATATTAGTTGATAATAGTGGATACGAAGAATCCACTTAGGGGAATTGGAAAACCCTCCTGATTTCAAACGAATGACAGAGACATCCTATTTAGCTCCCAAATATTCTGTACAGATGAGAATGGGAAGAGTCAACTCTAACTGTCGAAATGCTCTTACATGGCCACATGCATACAACCTTTGTCAGGAAAGTCCTAATCACTGCCTTCTCGTGGCGGGGGTGTTGTTTACGAAATTGAGAGGACGAAAACCGGATATCTGGCGCTTTAACCGGGTTGGTGGACTCAGAGAGTTCACCTAGGGGAGTTGGAAAACCTTGATTCTAAACCAACAGTGTACATGGGCTCCAGGATCCTGAAGGACTAAATGGCGTATGAACCTATTGTTGGTTACCGACTACCGTGGGATTGCATCGGGCTACGTTGCTTCACTGCCTTGTGGATTAGACCGTTAGGTCAAAGGCTCGCGGTGTGGTCTCCTAAGAAAACCACCTGCTTCGGTTTCGGCACCCAGGCAGTATATCAGCCCCCACAAAAATCAAATGATTTATGTGGCGCATATCTGTTTGGTAACTCCTTGCACCAATGTTTATGTATTTAAATAAATAAATAAAAATAAACAATTAGATAGTTAGACATATTGTATGACTGTAATACTAGGAAATCAGTCAATACAACACAGTAATACAGTAGGTGAGAATTAAACTCAGTAGAGTAAGGTATTAATCTTGTTGTCTGATGAATGATCTATAGAATTTGTATCTAACAAATAATTACCTTCTACATAATTTTAAAAATGTTTATTTTACTGTTAAATATTTCGTAAACTAATATGTACAGCCCACAGAAATTCGCTAGAAAGTATTATTGAAAGCTTGATATCGGTATTGACTAGTTAAGGGCATTGGGTCAACAACTCGATCTTCTCGATAATGATAATGTGACCTACTCACTAAGTAGAAATTTATGTATCTGGGTTTGAGCCAAACTATCTTTTAATCGACGACTCATGATACAGAACAGCTATTTAAACCGAAGTAGGTGGAAAGACGTCTCAACCTGTGACCTAATGATTAAAAGTTAAATTCTTTGACTGCCAAGCTGTCAATTTTTAGAATAATCATCACTCACTTAAGCATAAAACCAATTTGAGAAATCTGGCAAACACTTCAACAGAGATACAATAATACTTTACGTACAACAAAAGGCGATAAAATTTAGTACTTTAAACAAAGTTATTTCAAATCGACGATTTCAAACCAAACTATCAAATCGGAAAAAATCAGTTCATAAAAAGTTAGATAAGATTTGATAGTAAATTATGAAATAGCCTATTAAGTGAATCAAAACCTGAACCACAATTACAAACCTCTGATACAGTTAATATCACGACTGTTACATGCTCTGATAAAATAAGGAACGGGCACTTGTTGAAGGAAATAATTAGTCACTTTTTTAGCGAAATGTCCTGCTTCGGTTTCGACATTCAGGCAGTATCACAGCTCACACACAAACCAAATGACGATTACTACCGGAAGAAATATTCTTTTTTCAATTAGTATTCAAACAAATCACATTCACAATCACTTGATAACATTCATTTTTATTCCATTTATACTACGTTACTTATCTACTCTCTTTTAGGGTCAACTTTGATTCCATTCTTCCATTCAAGCAGTGGGTTTAGGACAGGGTTGTCCAATCTCACCCCTCCTCCAAAACTTTGCTACCGATGACCTTTTGGAAACAGTTCAGATGAACATAGATGACGGTGGTGCGAACCTATTGCCTGGAGAAAGGCTTCTCAACCTTAAGTATACAGATCATATTGTCGTACTGGGAGATGTTACCCAAGCCATACAATCCGCACTTAATCAGTTGGAAAATTAGTGTCCGTAGGTATGGTGTGTTTCGCACCTTCGAAGCGCAAAGCACTTTAGCAAGACCAGCAGGACCCTGAACATGCACACACCCTGGATAGTGAGAAGATAGAAGTACCTGAGAAGTTCATGTATCTGAGTAGCCGCATAAGTGCTGGTGAGGGTGTGAGTGATGAGATCAATTCATGTATAGTGAAAACCGGAGTGGCTTATGCCAGTCTGGGACATCTTTGGCGCCTTCGTGATGTTAGTCTGGTTATAGAAGATTGGATCTGCCACGAATCGGTAAGAGTAGTTTTGCTCTGTGCTTGTGAAACCTGGCCCCTCCAAGTTGAGGATGTTAGACAACTCACTGTGTTTGATCATCGTTGTCTCCAGAGGATTGCTGACATTCAGTGGCAACACCATGTTAGCAATCCAGAGGTTCGGCATCGTCTGTTCGGGCACAACGAAGATAATTCAATTTGTATCACTATCTTGAAACAAGGGCATCGGTGGTTCGGACATGCCCTACGGATGTCGTCCCAAAGAATTCCACATCGTACATTATTTGCCGACACTAGAACCGGTTGGAGAAAGCGGAGAGGTGGTCAGTGTATGACATGGTGTCGTGGTATGAGAGAAAGCTGTGCAGGAATGGCTCCTGTTGGCCCTTCATGACTCCCTGGTTGGGGTCCTAGAGATGGTGCAACACATGTTATCAGGCATGGCTCAGAATAGAAGCCAGTGGCGATCCTGCTGTAACTTTCTTCATAAAAAATGAACATAACTTCCTTAACTAGATGAATTCTTTCTGGTTGTATTTTTGATAACTCAACTGCCTCTCCCATTATTATTATTTCATCCTCATACACTTATTTCTGTTTGTTGTTATTCGCCTTTTCATTGTACGCACTGTACATTCTCTATCTCTTCACAACATCATTGTTATTGTGTGGTGCATATGTATTCGGTGCCCCTTTGTACTAATATTTGTGTTCAAATAAATAAAACAAACAAATAAAAGACACATATAGAAGACGCGTTTGTCATTTTTAATGTTCTCAGTGGCTTTTCAAAGTAATATTTATAAGTAATCCTCAAATCTATTTCACAACCTATGACTATAATGTCAGAGCAAAAAAAGATGGGATATTCTAGAATTTGTCTCTAACTCCAAGAAAGTATGGCCAATTGAATTTACAAAAAACCCATCTTTCAAAGCCAACAAAAACAAAGCAATGTCCTGTATTGTAATACTTCAAAGAAACCAAAGTATTCAAAAGAACTATCTAAAGGAGTAGTTGGGATAATTCTGTCACTTCGAGTACATATAGCTAATAGTACCTCAAGTTTTACAACGTCAGTGTATCTACTGTCTACAAACCTAAGGACCCAAAAAATTACACAAACACAATATTAAATGGAAAGGTCATCGTAAATCTACTTGATCATTAATTCTAATATAGTTATTTGCATAAGTGCTTGGACATTCTTATTTAGTACCATCAACCATGGCTATACCAAAAAGAATTTTAAACTCTACCAAACTCTTTAAAAATTCTGCAAATATTGTCAAATATGATTAAGACTCAAGATCTATGGAAAGATAAAGGATAAGTGTATATAAATTGATGAAATCGATACTGACTTACAACAATTAATGCCTCCAAAAAGTAACCACGATTATCCTACAAACCTAAACCAGGTAGACTACACTGATTAACATGGCTCAGATCAATAGTCAATACCTTCATCAACAGAAAACACGTCTTGATTTATATGTCCGTAGCTTTCTTCCAACCTACACTTACGTTTTCCAGCATCACATGTTGAGATAGGCAGTGGCCACGGTCACAATTATCCCAAACTATAACAATACTTTTGATTAAAGTTCAGTGAAACCTTACAGACTGGCTCTGTATATTTGTGACGTTTTGAAAACCATAAAAAATAGGGCTTAAAGTATAAAATTGTATTTAATTATTGATTTGCATAGAAAAAGACCCATTCATACTGATAAATAAAAAAACTTGAACTCACATCATGACACCCATCTAGAACAAAAATAGGGTTTATATTACACCGTTTTAATATATTGATAAAACGATGAATTACTCCACTGAATGCTAAATATTCTCCATTAAATTGTGTATATAATCCAGAATCAAAATAGAGAAAATTTAAAAAATTCAATCCATCAATAATCACAGTTGTATTATGTAATTGATATTCAATAAAATTTCGTGGATCACTTTGTAAGTAGGTTGTTAATCCTCGTACACCCATAATGATGATAATACTAATGATAATAATAACAATAGGAATTGTTAAGTAAAATAGTTCAATCTCCAGTAATATGATTTTGGCTTCAATCTAATACACTGTTAATTACTTTATTCATTGTCTGTAATATCAAAAAAAGAGAGGATAGTAACAAATAGCATTTTAAATATTCCAAAAATATAAGAAGGTAAGATGTTTGAAAATATTTATAATCAATGTTTGTATTTGACAAAAATAACAAATCTAAATAATTACAAACTTCGTTTTAATGGTAAAACAGGCCAAATTGGTGAATCACGACAAGGTGATACAAATTCATAATAATGTAATAGAGAAGCTTCAAGCATTTCAATTTGAGAATCAATTGTTTGAATATCTGTAGATTGATTTAATTTACGAGGTGGCGCCTTTAACATTGATTGAATATCATATACATTTGATTCAATATTATCACGATTTTGACGATGTTGTATAGTTTTCATCATAAAATTAATATAATCAGGGTCAAGTGGAATATCCTCTTCTTCTTCTTCTTCTTCTTCTTCTTCTTCTTTATTAAGTGCATCTTTATGATATCCTGAAGTTGTAATATAATCAAGAGCATATGATGGTAGACTATTAGCTAAAGTATCCATTCGTTTAAGTGTATTATTATAAGCTTTTCTAAAGTATTCCTGCCTATGATATAAGCGTAGAACTTCATCTTCTGCATTTTTCAATAGATTAGGAACAATAGTATCTTGATGAGACAATTTACTAGATAAAGGTCCTCTCGGAAGTTTTTTAAGATATTTTAATTCATCTTCAGTAATTAGAGGTGAAAGAAGTTGAGAGATGTTTTGAACTAAGTCGACGTTGAAATTCATGTCTTTTTTACATTCATGTTTTCTAAAAGATAATATCATTATTCAGTGAAAAATGATACATATAAAAATATTGTAAGAAGAAAAAACATGTGACAACAAAAGACTTATATTTATTCAACAAAACGACTCTGGGTTTGTAATATATTGTCTTTTAAATCGGAAACATTTGGAGTTACTTCGTAATTTGTAATAACAGCTTCTCGTCTCGGTGCTGGTGTATAATCTCCCCGCAAGCCAATGTAGTGAATCCGTGTTGTATCACCCCCGTAATTAGCACTAAAATGTAAACTCAGTGTTTGCACATTAGAAAATCGTGAAATTTTCAATGGATATATCACTTCACCATTTGGATCAACAGTTAATTCGAGTGATTGTTCACATTCAGCCTATTTTCTTGGCATCAAATTACATTTAGTTTAAAATAAACTTACACTTAAATCTTCAAATGTCATGAAAGGTTTATTTTTGTACAACGACACTTGACTTGGATGTTGTTCGGTATCAGCACCAGAAATAATAATACTCATTAGTTTTATATTTCCAGTAAACGGTATATTAAATAACAATTCCTGATCAACATCACTTTCAACATAAACAGTTGAATCTTTACGATCCTAAACACAGTAATTATGAAACAGTAAGCATACCTCATAAGGCTTGAAAACAAGTTTACCACTTCCAGAAACAGATTCATTCAAACATTCTACATTATGTGTATCAATAAACCAGTACAAGCTGAACGATGGGGAATTATCGGCTTTATGCGAATGACAACAATGACCACCAATGCTGTGATCACACATGTAGTAACTGTAAATAAAATGAACCATTAGGAAGACATAGATCCTTTTTTTCATAGATCTGGTATCAGATTTGTAAATTTAAGAAAAGTGAAGCACAAGGTATGGCCAATCAGTCAAATACGACGTAAGAACCTGGTACAAGTGTACATTAGTTTGTGACACCTCTTTTGCACAGAGACATGAAATCGTCAGAGTAAATCCCAAAGTAGTCGAGGAAGTAACGGGACTAATAGTGATGATGGAAAGGATAAGGCATGCAAGATACAATTCGAGAACATATCAATGAGTGGAATAATTTAAAAAATGAGGAATTTAGGAACTTCGAACTTCTGGGCAGACAAAGAGTGAATCCACCTGGGCCATTGCTAACGATGTTGAACTTCCATGCCAAGTCTCCAACCATTAATTACGATGATCACGCGGAGCCCGACCAAGAGTGAAGTAATCGAACGGGTCCATGACCTCACTTATCTTGGAAGTCTGACCACCCATAGTAGATTGATGTCTGATGAAATCTCTGCACAGATTCAAAAAACTCGTTCGTAAAAATAAAGGCATAAAGCAATTTTAATCTCATAGTTTAGGGGAAGACAAAGAGTGTATACACCTACGCAATTGTGATCGACCCTGAGCCATGTCAGCCAGAGTCTCCAACCGTTGGTTGTAATAGTCACGCGGACCCCAACCAAGTGGTCTACATCTACCAACATGACTCAGACTAGAAGTTAGTGACTTAAAGGACTGGTGCCACATTTTGGTTTGGCCGCCCCAACTTTCTTCCAACCACCCTCAACAACTTCTGGTGTGAGCCACGTTGGTAGATGCAGTCTACTTGGTTGGGGTCCGTGCGACTATCGTAACCAACGGTTGAAAACTCTGGGTGACATGGCTCAGAATCGATCACAATGGCGTAGGTATATACACCTGATGTCATTTGTTGGCTGGGCCGCCTCTACTTTTCTTCTAACCCACTGGTACAGCAGCAATCATTACGCATCGAGGTAATCGGTGGATAGGCATACGTAACATATGTCCCAACTATCTCAGTCAATACAGATCTACTACCTCGTCAATCGGTTTTTAATACATACCCAATACTCTACGTCTAACCACAACATTGGGAACTCGATTATTCCAAAATACAGGAGTAATGCTTTGAAGGCACCTATGATCGAATACTAGTAACCTATAAACATTCTCTATTTTTAAAAGCCATATTCCATACTCATAAAGAAGAATGCAGAGGACTGGTGAGCAGTAAACTTGCTCTTTAGTTAGCAAACAGATGTTCCTCCTACGCTACGTTGGCAATAATCAGCCGGGCTTTCTGAATTCGTGTCAAAATTTCACCAGACACCGACCCACCAGGGATGAGACTCCCAACATAAATGTAGCATTCAATATACAATCTGATGACAGTAGTATACATTTAAATATTATTTATGGGCCGAATATTTTACGGCAATCATACCGAAATAAGTGGAGTGTTTTTGGCAGTGATCATTTGACCGGAAACCGAAAACCTGGGCGACTGAATGAAATCACGCTTTGGGTTCCACTTGAAGTAGCTCATATCTACGAATTTAAAACAAATTATGTGAATCGGATACCAATTTGTATTTACGAGGAAGTTATGACTGATTAGAAAGAAACCTTCAAAGCCGAAGTAATATGTTATTGGGAAAGCTTTCACGGAATATCGAAACATGAATGAGTAACGGAAAATATGAAACATAATGGACTTTCAGTCAACTTGCAAGTTCCACATGAGTAATCCCTACAATCACTAGGACTATTCCAGCTTTCCTTGAGAAAATGGAAAAGAAACAATGGGTGTGGTGAAACACGAAAATATGATGGTCAAGATAGCCCTCTAGCCTACAACTGAATGACCAAAATTTCTGAATACCTGAATGTTATGACCCTACCTATATTATAAGACTGTAGTATGCACAACCTGACGAATGCCAGTCGGTGGTAAATTATGTGAAATCTTGTATTCTAATAAGAAATATAAACCTCCACTGTCGACCACATCAGTATTGTAAAGTCGAGCCATAAAACAAGTACAATGACAGAAAGGTCAAATGTCTCTTCACTGTGGCTTTTTGTTTTCATTTTCGACTAGGACTTATAACTTATAACCTCTTTCGGGAATGTCTTTTTACACATCTCTCGGTTAAAAATTCATTAAAAATAAGTAACGTATCCATCGTAAGAATCAGGAAATTTTAAACGAGACGTTGTGACAACTGTCACAACATTGGGGAGATTCTGGGGATTTCCCCAGGTCTGTAGAAATTTTGAGGTTTTCGTGCCATTTTCCCAAAATTTACCATAGCGGCTTCCCCAAAATTGGCAGCTTGGGAAGACTGATAAATTAAGGAAGTTTCGTTTAAACGCTGGAGATAATTATCAGAAATAACAACGAGAAGCCCAGAACGAAACTAGGTTTTAATTTTTTCAAAATTTACCCAGAGTTTCCCAGAATTGGTAGTGTGAGATATCGCACACTTGACACGTGACATTGTCACGCAAAAGTACTTAATTTATGGAAGAAGGAAAGCTTTTCACTTGTCTTCCACAATATTTTATGCGAGACATAGTCCTACAAGACTTCAGCACTAAATCAACTATGGAATTATGCTGAAATGATAAACACAGAGAACCAGAAGAATTCGAGTAAAGAAGTATGACTACTAGTAGTAGTAACGCTACACTTAAGATAACCGCGGCTCCAAATTTGCAGTTTTAAGGTCTGACGTACCTTCTTAGTGTTAATTCAACGCTCTATCAAGAAACATTTCATTTTACCACCCTGCTTCAAAAAGATCTCTTCACAGTGATTCTGAGAAAAAGGGACGTAAACATCTTTCGAGAGTTGGAAATGAGTCACATTTGTCGTGCTAAAAGGCATCTAACTTGTAGCATATATTTAACCGTATTATCATTGCGTAAAGTGGTTTTCGTAACCCTTTACACTCTAGCAAGTCATTATTGTATTTTGGCGTTGAAATGCATCCTTGAGCGTATCATCTTGTGAGGGATAACGAAAGAGCCTGCCTATAAATGCTTGCAGACGTCTTAGTGAGTGTAGCGGTAAATAAATCCTCAAAATAAGTAACTCTGTAAGTCTTCGACACTGTATGCTGGCCACATTCGTTTTAATGGACTCACCCAGCTGAGGGCGCTCGGTCATGCATCCACACCGAATCATGATTGGTAACGCCATGCTCAACATCCCCTGCAATCGCTAGCCAGATTAGATCAGTCGATCCTCGATATATTGATAGCCTATCAAATATATCTTCGAACCTTCTCGCTTCTGTCTTTGGATTTCACTTGGTGGGTACGATTCATATTAGGTGTTACTGATTAAAGCGTTGTCAAACTCCAAGTGCCTGTAGCATCTTCATGAGAATAGCTTACAAAATGTTACACTTGCCCCTGAATTAGGCAAAACTCTATTGATCCATATTCCAGATTGAGCGTCAGGAGCAATAATCCCTCAGTACCCAAAAGTTATTTCTTACAGTCTGAACGGCAATGTCGCAAAACGATTGTTTACTATTTCCTCTTGACAAAGTTGGAAGGTCAAGGATGGTTCGGGACCCTGCATCTCTTTGGTGTTAATTGGCTCATTACAAAGCCAAAATTGATATCGTCTCCTAAATACAATACCTCCAAACCGATGGCTGGCTTATTCGTCATACTTCTTTTCTAAAGTCATCACCTCAGAAATTGTGAAAAAGCGATCGTTAGCTGTCTTGAAAGATAGAAATTGATAATATTTAAACTCAGAACAGTCATTCAACTAGCGTAGTGGTAGAAGGCCGAGAAATATAATTCTAATTAATTTACTGAATCATGTTGAATCTCAAAATCTGCTAGCTTCAGAACAACATGAACCTTACAAGAGTCTTTCATACGTGATTTGCTTATTAATTATGATAACGCATTGGACACCAACTTAGAGTAACAGTTCTGTCGACACAATATTCGTAGGTTATAACGTGGTATAATGGGCCTCCTAGTATTTCAAATCTAAGTTCATGAGTCATTAATACTGGTTAGATAGTCAGCTCTGTTATGCAGACCAGTAAGTAGTAATATTATTGAGCTTTGGCTTATGGGTGTTTTTTGACGGAAAGATATAATTCTTCTTATGCTCTGTTTGATTTCCTCAAGTCGTTACGGTACGTAATATTGATTTCATTGTTATAAACTATACATATGTATTAGTGAGCAGTCATGATGAGAAACGATGTAATTCCTTCCGGTAAAAACACTGAACGACAATCGAGGGACAGTTACATCTTGAGTTATTTCCCTCGATATCTGTGAACTTAAGTTAACGGGAGCCTTCATTTGACGTGATGATCAAGAAATCACATCATCATTACTTCCTGTTGTAAATTTCACTTGCGAATTCTCACCACAAAGAAATTCGTATAAATTTCCATACTACTCATATCGTGTTCTAACATTAATATTAGTTTAACAGTTTGGTAGTGAATTTATTGGAGAGAAGAGAATTGAGAGGGACATGAAATATGATGGCCACGTCCCATCTAACACTTACATACTGTACAGGTTAAAATTTAGAGCTGATACGAGAGCTATGTAGGATTTGTCCTTCAGCCCAAACAACTTTTCATACCTTGATTGAACACAATCTAAGAGAGCGACAATCTTATAAAGGTAATCATAGCTTTTAGGCAAACACTAAAATGATTTCGAGCAGTTTGTCAGTCAACCCTTTCCAAGTTATAAAGAGACGCTTAACTTGTGCATCCTCGATAAACTCCAGAAAACCGATGGGACGAGATACTTGGGGTACCACAAAGAGTTATCGAAAATTTTGGTGGGTAGATATTAATAAGTATGCTGAAATTAACTTCTCCAATAAACATCCCTACGTGGAGAGCATCAAAATCGGTTAGTTGCCGAAAGTTTCTGTCATGTGGTCCCCTTTGTGTAAGGATGTAACTACATCATTCCTAGTGTGATGGTAGTGTGCCTTTAACAAGAAAACACTTACAGAAAGTGTCATT